TGAGGTCAGGAGTTCGAGACCAGCCTGAGTTAGATACAGCAAGACCCCGTCTCTACTAAAAATAGAAAAATTAGCCAGGCATGGTGATGTGCACCTGTAATCCCAGCTACTTGGGAAGCTGAGGCAGGAAGATCACTTGAGCCCAGGAGTTTGAGATTGCTGTGAGCTAGGCTGACGCCATGGCACTCTAGCCCAGGTGACAGAGCAAGACTCCATCTCAAAAAAAAAAAAAAGATGAATTTACTATAAATAAATGCAGCCACATGGAAGAATCATATATAAACACAATATTTGGTGAAAGAAGCCAGACATAAAAAGTAGATTCTGTGTGATTCTACAAAGGAGACTTCTAGGAGACTGGTAATGTTCTATTTCTTGATCAGTGTGTTATTTATAAGTATGTTCAGTTTGTGATCATTTCTCAAGTTATGAACATAGAATAGGTGCCTCTTTTCTATGTATGTATATTTTGATAAAAAGTTAACATTTTTTATTTAGAAACATTAGACATCACGGATTAAAAAAACCAACAGCAACAACCAAAAAAACTCCAGATATCTCATCTTCTGGAGATAAACCCTCTTAAGATTTTGGTGAAGATCCTTCTAGATTTTTTTCTATACACATAAACATATGTTTTACAAAATGGGATCACATGTGACATCTTTTGTTAACCCAATTTTCTCACTGGGTCCTATTTCAGGCTTACAAATACTGGTAAGCAAGACTCATTCAAACATCTTGGTTCAGTATATGGTTTATTTATTTATTTTTTTTAGGATTCCTAAAACTGGTATTGGGAACTCTAGGAGGATACACATCTTTAAGGCATTGGGTTTCCCCCTGGAAAGACAGTACCAATTTACATTCCCATCTGCAGCGGATGAGAATTCCCTTTTCCCCTGCTTCCTTGCTAAAAATGGATATTATCATTCTTTCCAATCTTTGCCAAATGGAAGTTACGTGCCACTGAGCATAAGAGTTACAGAAGAGGCAGCAGTAGTTTAGATTCTAACTCAGGGACAGAAATGATTTGGGTCCTCGTCCCAGCTCTGAAGCTCAGTCTCTTCAGTTACAAAATTGGGTAAATAATAATCTTTCAGAAAGAGAAAAAGTTAACTAGTTTAATATTAGTCCTAACCACTCCTGACTGTTCCCCCTCTTGCCCAAACTCCTTTCTAGTTTTGTCCGCCCAGCAGCCTGGATATTCCTGTATGAATATAAATCACACCCATCACTCCCTGTTGTACAACTCTTCCTCAGCCAGCCATACTTAGAACAAAATCCGAATCTCTTACTTAACCTGGTTGATCTGAGTTTACCTGGTCTGCCTGTATTTTTCCCTGGGGATGTTGTCAGGCCTCGCTCTCTGCCTACCTTTTTATTTTTATTTATTTCTTTATTTTTCAGACAAGGTCTTGTTCTGCCACCCCAGCTGGAGTGCAGTGGTGTCAACACAGCAACCTCAAACTTCTGGGCTCAAGTGATCCTCCTGCCTCAGCCTCCTGAGTAGCTCAAACTACAGGCACACGCTGCCATGCCAGGCTCATTTATTCCATTTTTGGTCGAGATGGGTCTTCCTCTTACTCAGGCTGGTCTTGAACTCCTGACCTCAAGGGATCCTCCCACTTCAGCTTCCCAGAGTGTTAGGATTACAGGCGTGAGCCAATATACCCAGCCACTGCTAGAGCTTTTTGAGGCTGCACTGGTCTCTCTGAGTTTCTCAAATAGGAAGTCCCTCAGGCCCACGCCTTGGGCTGCTCCTCCTTCCTCTGCTTCCTGTCCTTGCTGACTTCAGCTTAAAACCACATCCTAAAAGAGATCTTCCCTGCCCGCCCTATTTTCTCTCCCAGCATCCTGTTTCATGCCTTCGCGGTCTCATTACTATGTGTAATGCTATACTTCTTTGTTTACTTTGGGGTTTCGTCTCCCCACCACCTGGTAAGTCCAATGACAGCAGACACAAGGCCTTTTGGCTCCTTGCCACATCCCCCAGCATTGAACCCTGTGCCTGCCTCACTAGTAGATGCTCAATATTTGTTGAATAAATGAATCACCATTTCACTTTTCCTCTGGTTTGGTGGTGTGTCAACCCATAGCACTGTGACACGGTGAGGTAGCTGTCAGTTCTTTGTACCTGTCTGTCTGGGCTGCTCTCTTCCTGATCTGAGCCTCCCCAGGCCATTTCTGATCTCTCCCATCCCTCATCCCTGAGCTGGGTAATTTATAAAGAAAAAGAACACATTTCTTACGTAGTTATGGAGGCTGAGATGGCCCAGGTCAAAGGGCCACCTCTGGTGAGGGCCTTCTTGCTGGTGGGGGCACTGCAGAGTCCCAAGGCAGTGCAGGGTATCATGCGGCACAGGGCTGAGCATACTAACGTGCTAGCTCAGGTCTCTCTTCCTCTTCTTATAAAACCATCAGTCCCATTCCCGTGATAACTCATTAATCCATGAATGGATTCATCTATTCACGAGGGCAGAATCCTCCTGACCCAATCACCCCTTAAAGGCCCCACCTCTCAAAACTGCCACATTGGGGATTATATTTCAACGGGAGTTTTATTTTATTTTATTTCTATTTATTTATTTATTTATTTTTTGAGACAGAGTCTCGCTTTGTTGCCCAGGCTACAGTGAGTGCCGTGGCGTCAGCCTAGCTCACAGCAACCTCGAACTCCTGGGCTCAAGCAATCCTGCTATCCTCAGCCCCCACAAGTAGCTTGGGACTACAGGCATGCGCTACCATGCCCAGCTAATTTTTTCTATATATGTTAGTTGGCCAATTAATTTCTTTTTATTTATAGTAGAGACAAGGTCTTGCTCTTGCTCAGGCTGGTTTCAAACTCCTGACCTTGAGCAATCTGCCCGCCTTGGCCTCCCAGAGTGCTAGGATTACAGGCATGAGCCACCGCGTCCGGCCACTCAACAAGAGTTTTAAAGGGGACATTCCAACTATAACAAGTGTGTAACCAGAAGTTCTGTTTTAAATTAGAAATTAAAACTTTGTTTATAAAAACAAGTGGCTGTCCACAGGTGATAATTTGCCAATTTTATTTTATTTTTAATTGCATAAAATATTATTTATGTTATATATTTTGATAACTGAGTTCTTTTAGCCTCCTTAAATGTTGCACCAGGGGCTGATATCTCATCAAAGAATGAAAACCACCCTGAAGAACTATTTAATATTTTATAGCACATGACTTTATACACTAAGAGAAAGCACCTTACACAAAATTTCACCATTCTAATTTATGACTTTCACGATCGTTATTGTTTTTTTCTGTCTCTGCCATGCACACGATACAAACCCTCATACAAACACACACACATTCTCCTCCTATGGTCCCCTATTAAAATGTAAACATTTCTGGTACTGTAATAATAGCAGAAATTTATTTATAATAGCTAACTTTGTTGAGCACCTTATACATTGTATCCTGCAATCCATGGAACACCCCAGTCTGGGGGAGATGATTTGAGTTCCACTTTATGATGAGGAAACTGAATCTGAGAGAAGTAGTAAACGCAGCCTCTGGAGACAGGCTACCTTTGAAGTACCTCTGTGCTACTTCCCGTCACCTTCCCAAGTTACTGAACCACCCTGAGCCTCAGGCTTCCTATGAGGACAATGTGAACGCTAATTGCCTATACCTCATAGGTCTACTGAGAATTAAATAAGATGATATACTTGAAGTACTCAGCTCAGTGCCTGGACAGAGCAAGCACTCAATAGTGTTCGCTATGATTGATTGTTATTATTATTATTAATTGGTCAAAGGTCAACAGCTATTAAGAGGTGGTGTCCTGCTCATACTGAACCCCCAGGAGTCCTTCCTTCGGGGGCAGGGCCTCAACTCTAGGTTGGAGGGGTGGGGAAAGGGGAAAGGCTTCTATTTACCTCCTACAAATTAAGTATGACAGATTTTGAACTACCACAGAGACTATTTTCAAAACATAGCATTGCCTTGACCTTCCCATGGGCAGAGTTAGTCAGCAAGCCAGCAGCAGGGGCAGCTCCCTGAGTCACCTAGAGGCACGGCTGGAGGGGGTGGGGGTGGGGGGAAGAAGAGCCCTGGCCCCTGGGGCTACTAGCAACATTCCAGTCCTAGCACCCATGGTGGTGAGGCAAGCAATGAAGTTAGTGCTGCTCTCCATGGTATAATAGATGCTAGGGCTGCCACGCCCAGGTCCCTTTTTCCTGCAGGTGCATCTGTCCCCCTGCTGCTATTGGTTTGCTGATGGCAACTCACAGCCCCTCCTCATCCTGGGAATTGTCTTCCAGCACATGGGAGTCGTGACTTCCGTGGGGCCCAGACACAAAACCTCAGGCCCTTGCATGAAGCGAGGGTGGGGGTGGAGGAGGGAGGGGTGACTGCATGGTGGACTGCTGCCTTCTAGAGCCCCCTGGAGGGTTCAGCTTGAAGTCAGTCTCCAGCTGAGCCTACCTCCTCGCTTGGTTTTCCTCCCCAACCTGTCCTGCTCCCCCTAGTCTCCTCTGGAGGATGCCTACCCAGTGAATCACCCATTCGAGAATCCTTGTGCTTCTTGGGAACCCCACCTGAGATGGAGAAGGTGGGGAGGTGGGAGCTGGTTCACCACAGTTCAGGAATCCACAGAAGTGAAATGGTGCTGAATGATGACTTTTAGTCCTCTGGACAAAGGCTGCAGTGAGATGGATGATAGTAAGGTATTATAAAAGATCACTTGTGTTATTTTTATTAGTTTTGTTAAACTACAATCCTCAATCTCTGAATCTGAAACATTTGTCAAATTTCCTGATTAATGACTATTGAGGTTGATGAGTTTGGGATGAGTTCTTTTTTCCCCCATGAATTCCAAGCCACCCCTCCCTTCTTTGCGCTTCCTATTTGAAAATGATGTTACAAAGGCAGGTGTTTTATGATGGTTGAGATGGACAAATCCGTCACTCCTGGGCTGGGTCAGTGTCTGGTGCTCTTTCAGTACCTTCCCCAAAGTAGCACTTACCATGCTCCATTGTGCATGGAATTGCCCATTTATTGTCTATTAAGTGAAAGAAGACTCTAGAACTCTGGGCATAATTCAGAGTTAACGTGGTCTTCTTCCTTGTGGCCTTGTGGAAGGTGCTTGTGCACCTTGTGGAAGGTGCTTACAAAATAGTTATTGAATGATAACAATGAAAGAGTAAATGAATGAATGATCAGCACTGCTGAACCAGGTAAGTTCCCTGTCAATGAAAATTGGTTTTCACTTGTACAATATCCTTTTGCTATATGTCTTTTTAATCTGTTCACCTTATTGCCTTCAATCGGTGGCAAAGACTGTCTTCTGTTTCCTTTTCTTCCCTGCAGTAGACAATAGAAATAGTGTTTTATTGAATAGCCAACATTTTACTGAGCACAAACTGTTTTAAGGGTGTTTTATTTTATTTATTTATTTATTTATTTTTTAAGACTGAGTCTCACTTTGTTGCCCAGGCTAGAGTGAGTGCTGCGGCGTCAGCCTAGCTCACAGCAACCTCAAACTCCTGGGCTCAAGCACTCCTCTGCCTCAGCCTCCCGAGTAGCTAGGACTACAGGCATGTGCCACCATGCCCAGCTAATTTTTTCTATATATATTAGTTGGCCAATTAATTTCTTTCTATTTATAGTAGAGACAGGGTCTCACTCTTGCTCAGGCTGGCTTCGAACTCCTGACCTTGAGCAATCTGCCCGCCTGGGCCTCCCAGAGTGCTAGGATTACTTGAGCCACCTCGCCCGGCCAGTTTTAAGGGTATTTTAAAGATGGGGATTTAAAGATAAAGACAACGACAGTGGTCTTCAAAGAGCTCATGGTGTCTGAGTATACAATTTAGTCTTTCTTAAAAAGAGTTACATGTTGAATGCATAACTAAGTTTCGTTTAATATTAGTTCCTTTGTAACACTTTTCATAGAAACAAATTCACATATTAATGCATAACTAAGTTTGGTTTAATATTAGTTCCTTTGTAACACTTTTCATAGAAACAAATTCACATATTAAAAATTTCTTTTGGAGACCACATGACCTAATTTGGTCAGCAAATATGTTTGATACACCAGTCGGGCTCTGACTGGAGGTGCAAGCACTACATGTTACTGCTTGGTGAGAAAGGCCAGGTGGCTGGTTTAAGCCCTACAGTGTGTACCTGTGAAAGAACCAGGATGTGTTTGGTTCATCCTGTGGGGTGTGGGGTTCATCCCCCACACTGTGGGATGTGTTTGAATTTGAATCCAAATTGTAGGGTGGGGAGTCTCACTTTAAACAGCATGCACCTTTAAAGTTCTGACACAAAATTCCCTGCTCCTGGCTTTGAAATGAAATCAAAGCTTGCTTTGGCCTTGTCTCTGGCTTTGGGCTAATAATAGCCTGACAGGTACCTCTACAGCAGCTTTTTTTTTTTTTTTTAAACTCTTCCTCTTTAATGACAGGAACACTTTGAATTTCTTGGCATCTGTGAGGTGAGTCAGGCATTTTATAGATGCAGAAATTGAAAGAGGAATGACTTGTCTATGGCCAGACAGTAAGTCCAATAATACCGTGAATCCAGTAGCGCCACAGGGCGGCTCAGAACTACTTGGCCTGCTGCCCACCCTTGGTCCCTGTGCCGCACCAGGTGTAAACATTGCTAGAGAAAAGCAATTACAGCCCATTGAGAGGAAATGTGATACCAGCTGAGCGTGCAACAGCACTTGAAAAGGTAAAGGCAGATCCAGATTTCATCTCTATTCTGCCCAGTTGGAGGGGAGAAGTACAGGGAGCAGATTTCTCCTACCCCATTTGCCTCTGAAAGTCAGCCAGCATGCTTTCCTCAGCAAGTCTGTGATGGGTTCTGGGCAAAACAATGTTATAATAAAAGCAAAAAAGGTAAACTATGGCGTTGCCTCTGACTGCCCAAAGGGTTTTTGTTTCTAAACCAGAAGACATGCAATCTTGCAGTTTTTCCCCTTAGGGAGGGAGACATTTTACTTGTCATCCATAGAAATTATCTTACTTTCTTGGGCATAATGGGTGTTAGCAAAAGGATCCACCATCTATTGAATACTAATCTGAGCCAGGTACCATCGGGCACTTTGTATCATCTCTCTCTTTTTTTTTTTTTGTTTTTGAGACAGAGTCTCTCTCTTACCTGGGCTAGAGTGCCATGGCATTGGCCTAGGTCACAGCAACCTCAAATTCCTGGGCTCAGACAATCCTCCTGCCTCAGCCTCCCAGGTAGCTGGGACTACAGGCATGTGCCACCATGCCTGGCTAATTTTTTTCTATATATTTTTAGTTGTCCAGATAATTTCTTTCTACTTTTTTAGTGGAGACAGGGTCTCGCTCTTGCTCAAGCTGGTCTCGAACTCCTGGGCTCAAATGATCCTCCCACCTTGGCTTCCCAGAGTGCTAGGATTACAGGTGTGAGCCACCATGCGCAGCCTACATCATTTCTTTTAATCCTCACAACACCAAATATTTATTAAGCAACTATCAAGTGCCTGACACCATGTTGGAGAAAGGAGATAAAAAATAAATAAATAGGACACAGCCCTTGCTCTGCAGAGTTATACAGTCTAGTGTGGAGGACATAATCATGACCAGGTAACTACAATGTAGTGTGATAAGAGTTCCAGTGAGAGGTCAGCCCAGATGGTGACCGGAGCACATAGGAGGTGACCCTACCCTAATTTGGGGATCCCAAGGAAGTCCTTTTGTAGGAAGTGAAGTTTAAGCATGATTGAAATTATTATCCCCAGAATTATCTCTAAGCCTCCCAGAGTTTGTGGAATAACAGCCCCCAAAGTTGTCCACATCCTAATCTCCAAAGCCTGTGAATACGGTACCTTACGTGGCAAAAAAGATCTTTGCTAATGTGATCAACTTAAACATCTTGAGATGCAGAGATTATCCTGGATTATCTGGGAGGGCTTAGTGTAATCACATGTAATCCTTTATAAGAGGGAATCCAGAGGTCAAAATCAGTAGTGGAGATAGGGTGACAAGAGACAAGAGGTTGGAGGGATAAGAGCAAGGGGCCATGAGCCAAGGAGTGCAGGTGACCTCTAGAAGCTATGAAAGGCAAGAACATGGATTCTTCCCTAGAGCCACCTGAAGGAGCCTGCCCTGCTGACACCTTGGTGTAGCCCGTAAGACACATTTGGGACTTCTTCCAGAACTGTGAGAATAAGTTATGTTGTTTTAAGCCACTAGTTTTGCGGTAATTTGTTACAGTAGCAATAGGAAACCAATACAGAGTTTAAGTAATAACTTGCCCAGCATCACAAATTAGACAACGGGGAAGTCAGGATTAAAACCCAGGGTGAGGCCAATTAATTTCTTTCTATTTTTAGTAGAAATGGGAAAAAATTAAATTATTAAAAAAAAATTTTAAAAACCCAGGGTGAACAATTCCAAAGCCTAAGTGGTCTTTCCCCAAAGGTTATGTTACCTCTTTAAAAAGTCCTTGGGTCTTTGCACAGTATATTTTGAAGAGCTGTCTACTAGTCTTGCCTAAGGCACAAATATATGCTCATGGAGACAGTAAGTGGCATTAGATGCTAAAATGCTGGAATGCTAGAGGACAAACATCCACAGATTGATGAATTATTTGCTTTCTGAATGCTATAGTGGAAAGAGGACTGGATTATTTAAGAGACATAGGTTCTGGTCCTAGCACTGGTACTATCCAGCTCTGAGACTTTAGCAAACTCTTTCACCTTTCTTGGCCTCATTTTGTTCATCTGCAAAATGAGGGCTTGAGCTACATGGTTTTTTGATGTTCTTTTAGTTTCAGCTTTCTATAATTGCCCTATCCCTCCTCCCTAGCGCACACACTTTGAGGCTATTTAAGCCCCTAATGGATGTTCAGTCTTAGCAACTTGGATGCCAGTTCATTTATTATTTATCCAAGGAAAAGGAAAGAAACCTCTCCTCTTCCAAAGGGGCCAGTGTTAGCAGAGATAATCTTAAATTCCCTGAGCTCCAGGACCTCTGCAGAACAAGCTGAAAGATTGCTTAGCAACTGGCAAAGTTGGAGAGAATGATCGATGTTTGTAAATTCTGCCCTTGTGTGTAGAGTGTTATTTGAATGGTTCCAGATGAAAAATTGTTCTGGCTAGTTCTAGAGATGGCTTTACTCCATGTTGTCTGGTGCTGGAACCTGAAAGAAGAGCTTGAAATAAGATCTGCATCACTGGTAAATGATCTTAGGGTCACAGTACACTAGAGTCAAGGCTATCTCAGATTGTTTTCAAACCAAGAGTGATACTGAGGCTTTAGCTATGCTGGAGTGGTATGCTGCGGCTTTCAAACAGCCTTAATGATTATTCTTGGCACGTCTCAGCTTTGCATTTTCAAAGTGTGGAAACCACAGCACAAATTTCCCTCTGTCGGGCTGGGTGCAAGTGGCTCATGCCTACAATTCTAGCACTCTGGGAGGCTGAGGCAAGAGGATGTCTTGAGCTCAAGAGTTCAAGAAAGGCCTTGAAAAAAAAAATAAATAAAAAAAAAAAGAAAGGCCTTGAACAAGAGTGAGATTCCATCTCTACCAAAAATAGAAAAAATTAGCGGGGCGTGATGGCATGTACCTGTAGTCCCAACTACTCGGGAGGCTGAGGCAGGAGGATGGCTTAAGTCCAGGAGTTTGAGGTTTCTGTGAGCTATGATGACAGAATTGCACTCTACCTGGGATGACAGAGTGACACTTGGTCTCCAAAAGAGTAAAAATTAAATTTCCCTCTATCATACTGTTGATGTTACCCAAATTGTTTTCTCAGCATTCCTCCCTCTGCTTTCTGCACTGTAGGAACTCTAAGCAAACATATTGATTATTAGCCTGACCACTCAGTTAATAATAAATAATAAACATTCTCATGGCCTTAAAGTGCCTTTCCTTTGTGACCTCTCTGTACAGCAGGCGACACTCATCTCTCCCCCAGAATGTTTCCACTTTAATCTAGAATGCTCTACCTGCTCCCCTGCTTGGCGGCTCTTGGTTGGTGTACCCCTCTGGCTCCTTTTCATCCCTTTGCCTGCTCACTCTCGGTCTTTTCTCAGTTCTTCCCTCTGCATGTTACCACTCTCCACAAACTTGTCAATATTGGTGCTTTGATTAACATCCTTATGTGAACTGCTCAGAAGTCTGCAGGGAGCTCCACGCTCTTGCTCGAGCCCCAGCCCCACATCCTGAAGGCACCGGGTCACAGGGCACAGGCTGAGTTCTATCTCTGCCACTCAGAACAGCTGTGTGAATGTGGACAAGTGACTCAAGCCTCATTTTCCTTATCTGCAAAATGGGGAGAATAATAGAATCTACCTCATAGTGTTGTAATAATCATTTAAAAAATTAATTTTGTAAAGTGATTGGCTTATAGTAATCACTTAAGAAATGCTATCTCTAATTTTATTTCAATGATTGAGCTGTAGAACTTGGATACTCTGTTAGCACATCCAATACACACCTCTCACAGTCCCTCTAATGATCTGTATTTCTGTTAGCATTGTCACCTGTCTTCTCGTTTCCAGAGCCAAGAGCCTGAAATCAACTTTGAGCCTCTTTTTTCTGCCCCTGTATCTAGTCAATTTTCAGTCCTCTCAGTTCAAGTCTGACCCCTCCTTTCCATGCTGATCCCCACTAGTCTAATTTACATGGTTATTGTCATGGTTCCCTAACCAGTGTCCCTTACTCTCAAGGTTTTCTTACTGCCGGTCCATCCTGGACCTCACAGAAACAGTTCCTTGGCATATAGCTGTAACTGCGCACTCCCTGGTCCTGAACAAACTTCCACTAACTCACCCTTCTTGTTGAGTAAAAGCCAATTCTTCGATGTAAGGTTCAAGTTTCTGCATGCCATGATGGAGGCTTGGCTCAGAGTGCACACTGGGGGTAAAAAAAGGGAGGCCTGCCCTCTAAACGGAGTGAGTAGGCGTCCGCTTGGACGGGGAGAAACTATGAGTCACTCGGTTATTTTCAGGAAAGTGGCAGAGAGTATAAAAAGAACTATATTCTTAGTAGCAAAAAATATAAAAAAAAAAAATCATATGGGCATGAATAACATTCAACCACAAATGTTAACGACCATCTGCTATGTGCCAGACACCACGGCGGGGTATTGGGAACAGCAGCGAGGATAACACAGTCCTTGCTCTCGAGGATTTGCAGTTGGTGAACAAGACAGGTAAACCCAGGGGCTGTTGTCATAGGGACACTGTGATAGCCGCTGAGTTCTTCTGCAGGAATGTGCAGAAGTGGCAGCCACACTTGCTGGCACTGGGAGAGAGGAGGGAAAGCTTCTAGGAGGAAATGACATTCTAGCTGAGACAGACAGGAGGAGTCAGCCAGACAAGGTGGAGAGGTAGGGGTGAGGAGGGGGTGTTTCAATGCCAAGGGAATGGCTGGGTGGGATGAGAGCTTGGAGGGTTAGTGCTGTTTGCCTAAGACTGAGCTGGGGGCAGAGGCGAGGCATGTTGAAAGGTATATTTCAAAACATCATGTTGTGCACAATAAATACATACAATTTTACCTGTCAATTAAAAAAAAATAATAAAAGATTGCATTGAAGAGGTAAGGGAGGAATGGATTATGAAGGACCATGATAAAAGGGTGGGGTTTTATCCTGAGAGTGAGGGAAGCCACTGGCGAATTGTAAGCAGGAGAACGGACACGACAGATATTCTCTACTCTCAGAAGCTGAGAAAAAGGTCAGCATTTTAGTTGGGAACTCAAAAACAAATTGAGTTAGTGACAAGATAATTGTACTCAGCTCTTTACCTCTGACCTTTGCAGTTTCTAAGTGACACAGGAAGTCGTCAACTAATTTATGTACTGTTGTCTAAATAAGTGTTTACTAGGAGCATAATTACAGGATGTCAGGGTTACCACCTCAGAGTCTGCTTTAAAATAAAAGCACTGGTGTTATGAAGTGGTGGGTCCCTGCTTTTTATCTGGTTTGCTGCTCTAATTCATCGCTGTCCACCTTCTGTGGCTCCTGAGAAACTGTAAAACATGATGCGAAGGTATTATGGCCGGGTGGGTGCTGAGAGGGCCCCGGGCCTGGCCCAGCCCAATACCCCCTGCCCAGGCTGACAAGGTCACGGTGAGCTCCCACAATGCACTGGAAGCAGCTTTACTAAGGAAGGAATGCGAAGGGGCTGGAAGGGCCAGCCATCCTAGGAGGAGGGGAACCCGGGCCTCATTATTTTAATACATACTGCCCCTTTTAGCCCAGATAGGAAAGACAGTCGTACATTCTCCCCTCCAGCTCCAGACTCGAAGGCTGGCTTAATAGAATTTAGTCCTGTGCAGCGTATGTTATTAGAAAAGAGATCCATCTTGATGGCTTAGTCATGACCGTGACTCCTGCAGCATAAAGGAACAGCCCTGGAAATGGGTATTAGTCACAGAGCGGAGATGACTTAGATCTGATTATTTCCCACAAGGGAGGTTGAAGAAGCGGCTCTGCTAACTCCCAAGTGTTTTTTTAAGGTCCCTGGGTTTTTCAGCATCACTGTTATTCTACAACTGGTGCCACCAATCCAGGGGACCTCTCTAGACTTTGAGTTAATGCTATAGAATGTGCTTACATTTCAGAACGCAACTGCCTTTTTGTTTCACGTGTAGAATAGTGTGATTTCACGGGCAAGCAATACTGTATAATACAGTCTCTCATGAGAGACCTGCCTGAATTCATATTCTGCCACCATGACTTGGCTGGGTGACTTTGAGCAAGTTACTTAACCTCTCTCTGCATCTGGCTTCTCATCTCTAAAGTGGGGATAATAATATTTGCCTTGTAGATTTGTTATGAGGATTAAAAGAGAAAATTCACGTAAAGTGGTTGGCAGAGTAAATGCATTTCAGAAATCAATTTTTTTTTCATTTATGGATTTTTCTTGTTCTAAATGGGATAAAGTCACACCAGGGAAAGAAGTTGACAGGGACAAACAACACATCAGATGTTAAATATTATTGTTATTACAATTTCAAACAATCTTGTTCAGTTGTCACAAAACTGATGGTGTCAGTTATAATACTGTCTGGCTGATTGGTGTCAACCTGGTATTCTGCCTCTCCTGTGTCCTGCACCAAATTTTTGTTCGGTGTCAAAAAGTTAACCAAACACACTCAGTAATACCATTTCTAGGAATGTAGCTCAAAGAAGGAAATGATTAGATGGACAGTGCACAAAGATGTTCATGAAATCAATATTTTTAGTAGCAAAAAATTAGAAATGATCCAAATAATCATCATGAAAGTTTAAATAAACTATGTTGTAATCTACATTCTATACAATGGAATGCTATGCAACCAGTAAAATAAGGACACTTAGATGTGAATTATTCACATTGTGTACTAGTATAAAAGACTTGAATAGAAAATCAGTCAATCCACTGAGTTAAAATGAAAAGTTAAGACACCTGTGATTTTTGACACCACTAATGTATGATTCATATAAGCAATGATTGTCGTTAGATGCTAAACCCCAAGAGACCTTTACATTGAGGGATCTTCAGATGCCACTTTAACCAAGTGATCAAACTTTGCATCCCCAACAAAGGGACAAACTCACACAATGAGCCTCCTGAGACAAAGTATCACCATCACTTGGATTTTTTTTTTTTTTCTTTTTCTTTGAGACAAAGGCACAGCTAGAGTGCAGTGGCACCATCATAGCTCACTGCAAATTCCAATTCCTGGGCTCCAGTGATCCTCCCGCCTCAGCCTCCCAGGTAGTTGGGACTATAGGTGCATGACACCACGCCAGCTAATTTTTTCTATTTTTTTGCAGAGATGGGGTCTCACTCTTACTCAGGCTGCTCTCGAACTCCTGACCTCAAGCAATCCTCCTGCCTCAGCCTCCCAGAGTGCTAGGATTGCAAGTATGAGCACTGTGCCCAGCCAGATTGTATTCTTTGTCAGAAAGATTTAAAGAAAGTCTAGTCAAAAGGAAACAGACAAATCCATATTGTAGGGCATTCTACAAAATAATTGGTGCAGCCTCTTCAAAAATGTCCATATCACAAACAATAAGAAAAAAGGCAGAAGTGAATAATCTAGAACAGTAATAGCCAATAGAAATATAATGTGAGCAAAATATGGAATTTTAGTTTTTCAATAGCCATATTAAAAAGTAACAAGATGGGTAAAATTGATTTTTAATAATGTATTTTAGCTCAATGTATTCAACATATTTTCATTTCAATAAACAATCAATATAAAGAATTAATGTACTGTGGCTAAAGCTAAGGTACTTAGGTGTAGTTGTGATGTATGTATTGGATAGCATAGTTCTAGATTAAAGAAGACTTAAGAGACTAAATGAAACGTGTAATCTATATTGGAAAAAATAGCTATAAGGGAGATTGTGGGGATTATTGAGGAAACTTGAATGTAGACTGTGTGTTAGATAATATTGTTGTATCCATGTTAAAGCCTTTGGCAATTGTTATGAACTGAACGTTTGTGTGTCCTCCAAATTCATATGTCAAAGTCCTAACACCCAGTGTTATTTGGAGGTGAGATCTTTGGGAAGGAAATAGGTTTAGATGAGGTCATGAGTGTGAGGCCCCCGTGATGAGATTTGTGTCTTTATAAGAAGAGGAAGAGATGACAGAGCTTTCTCTCTCTCTTTCCACCACGTGAAGACAGAGAGGAAGCAGCCAGCTGCAACGAAGAGGGCTCTCTCCAAGAATGGAATCAGCTGACACCTTGATCTAGCACTGCTGTCCTCCAGAACTGCGAGAAACAAATGTGTGTTGTTTAAGCCACCTAGACTATGGCATTTTGTTATAGCAGTGGACTAACACAGCAACGACAGTTAATAATGGTTACAGAGAGGAGAATGCTGTTATTCTTAGGAGACACAGGCTAAGGTACTTAGGTGTAGAGTCGTGATGTATGCAACTTACTTTCAAATGGTTTAACCAATTATAGATAGATCACATGTAGATGAATAAAAATAGGGATAGGTATAGATATATAGAGAGAGTGAACAAATGAGGCAACTATTAATAATTGTTGAATCTAGGGAAATGATGTTCAGACATTTATTATATTATTTTTCCAAATTTTTCCACTTTTGAAATTGTTAAATAAAAAGTTGGGGGGAAAATTGAGAGGAAAAAAAGATTTCAATAATGATAATGACATTTTATATTACTTTATAGTTTACAGTGTATTTTTACATTTGTTAATTTGATCCTGTCAAAAATCCACAGAGGTAGATAATGTAGTGTGTTTTATTTCATGGTCAACAAACATATTTCTTCAGCACCTA